TGTAAGGGTGGGTGGGGCGTGTACGGGGATGGAGGACTGGGAGGGTGTAAGGGTGGGTGGGATGTGTACGGGGATGGTGGACTGGGAGGGGGCAGAGAGGGTGGGGTGTGTATGGGGATTATGAACTGGGAGGGTGTAAGGGTGGGTGGGGGGGGGGGGGGGATACATGTCCAGAAGTCTCCAGTTCACACGAGATTGCCCCCTCCCTCTCCCGACACAGAAGGGGGGGTGGGGGGCGGTGTACCCCGTCCCCCGACCCAGAACAAATGGGTGTCAGCTTTCCAAGGAGACAGAACCCTCTCACACAGTGAGCAATTTGTTATTTTAAACAGTTAAGATGTCTCGTTAATACCTGATACAAACTATAGAAAAACACTCAGCATCTCCCTTTTTCTGAAGACACTATGATACAGAATGTAATATAAGGCCATTAAAGATGTCAACACCATTAGTGACACATTTCCCCTGCCCTGGACTATTTTGGAGGCTACTTGCCATTCGATACTCACCATTTTCCCCTCAGTAATCATCAACCCCTTATCCAATTCCCCCCTCAGAGTCAGAGGTCACACTGTCCAGTTCATGACCCCACATCTACAGGGCTGACCGCTCCCTCAGGCTGGCTCACACAGGCCCTTACTGCACAGTGACACGTGCCCCTTATGACCTCCCCACCACCCAGGCTCAGCAGAGGGGCAGGAAGTTGAATGCTTTAAAGCCCCTCCTAAAGGTCATTGGGTAGCTGAAGTCAGCCAGATCTACTATGGTTGCAGCATTGGGAGAGGGGACAGCAACCCCCAGACGGAGACTGATACCCCATGGCAGGAGGGATGGGGCAGGTACACGACAGGACCCCAAACAGGGAAATGGGGAGGGGTCACCATCTCCTGCTTGTGGTGAGCCACCAACCCCACCACAAACTGACATGGAGCCTGTAGACTGGAGTCACATGCTGACCAACAGCAGACATGGTTTCAGAGACAGTGTCTGGGGTTTGGGGTGGGCTCAAAGGGGAAGTACCCGAGACAGACTGTAGCCTCTCACCTGAGCATCGAGAGAACAGAAACCGCTCGCACAAAGCACCAAGTGTTGAAGTGGGTCAGGTGTGTAACAAGAGCAAGGCCCTGACCAGCAAACTCCAAACCCTGAAGCAACAGACACACAGTCAGAAACCGTTCTGTTCAAAAGGAGTCTCCATCTTTCCCGACTGTAAACTTTTCAAAGTTTTGTGCGTGGCTCTGCCCCTTCTCCAGTGCATTTTGAAAGTGAACTCCAATTGGCTGCTTCATTGTACAGTGCATTAAAAAACCCTCGGTGCTGGGATGGGGGCTGCTCAGCTGGGAGGGGCATCACTCAAGGAACTCTCTGCTTGTCACTGGAACACGAGTGAAAGTTCCTCATTGCTAGTGACTGAAGGGAGAGCTCAGGGCACCAAGTTTATATGAAAACAGCGTGTGTTGCTATTGGCTCCAGCAGCCTATGCCAGAAGTCTGATCACCCCGTTATCAGATCCCAGCAGGAGAAGTCGTTTGGTGGGCAGGATCCCGAGGCTGGTCAGCGTCCCACGGAAGTTCTCAGAACTCAGCTTGTTCATGGAGATCGGAAGTGAGCTGTCCAGCAGCGAGTAGATCCCAATGCGATTGGCCACAGTGCCAGCTACAATCTCATTACCGTGGAGATCGAATGTGTGCACGGGGTCAGAGGGCGACCGGTAATGGTGGAATGGTTTCTGGTCACACTCTTTCCAGATGGTGAGGGAGTGGTCGGTAGATGAACTGACCAGAACATTGCCCTCCGCACTCTGAACAAAGGAAAAACAAGAACACAGTGAGCACCAAGACAATAACAACTCTCTGTATTTATTTAGCATCCCTAAAGCAGTACAAAATTCCAAGGAGCTTAACAAGAACATTGTCAATAAAGCCATTTTTCCCCCATTGTGTAGGAGCACTAGGTCAGGTGCCAGGTAACCAGATGTAAATTTGAAGGTCAGTCTTCAAATAAGGGCAAGATGAAGACCCACAGTTCCAACAAGTTTGAGTCGGACTTTTAAACATGTGCATTTCTTCAGCTTTGGCTGAAATCCCAGTGCTGCAGAGACCCCACAAGGGAATGGTGTTTGGTGAGACTTCCTGCTGGGACAGTGAACCCTGAACCTCAGAGGCCTCTCACTGTCCTGTTTACCCTGCTGTGAAACTTTAGCCAAAACCAACACTTCACCCACTGAACACAAACAAACTAAACTCCTTTAACCCTGGCCAGCCCACAACACTTCAAAACTCAACATCAGGAACCTGCAACAAAAAGTACACAGTGCTGGAAAAACTCAGCAGGTCTGGCAGCGTCTGTGGACAGAGAGAAAGGGTTAGTGTTTCAGGTGCAGCGACTCTTCATCAGAGCTGAAAGCAGCTGCAGGTTTAGTAAATCAAACTAATAAAGACGGTGGCCAGAGAGGGTGGCGGGAAATAAAGGAGAAGCAGATAAAGAGAACGATGATAAGCTGGGAGAGAACGAAATGCTGAACAGATGATAACAGCAACTGTGAACAATTGAGAATGGGTGTGCTGGGACGAACCCAGAGGGAACAGGACCTGGGGGTGTGAGAATGGGTGATAAACATGGGGGGAGGTGCTCTTGCTCTGAAATTGTTAAACTCAGTGTGGGGTCCTGAGGACTGTAAGGTACCGACACGGAAGATGAGGTATTGTTCGTCCAGGTTGTGTTGAGCTTTTCTGGAGCACGGCAGCAGACCTGAGACAGAAATATTGGTGTGGGAACATGGCGGGGTGTTGAAGTGGCAGGCAGCTGGAAGCTCAGGGTCATTTTTATGGTAGACCTTAGGCGTTCAGCAAAGCGATCACCCAGTCTGCATTTTGTATTCCCAACGTACAGAAGACCACAGTGTGAGCAGCGAATACAGTAGACTAGACTGAGTGACATGCAGGTAAATTGCTGCTTCACCTGGAAAGTGAGTCTGGGGCCTTGGATAGTGAGGAGCGAAGAGGTAAATGGGCAGGTGTCGTACCTTCTGCAATTGCATAGGAAGGTTCCGTGGGGCGTGAGGAGGTTTTGGGAGTGGAAGAGGAGTGGGCTACGGTGTCCTGGAGGGAGCAGTTCCTGCAGAATGCTGACAAGGGAGGGGAGGGGAGGGGACTGCGTGTCTGGTGGATGCCTCCTGGTAAGGTTATGGGGAAAGCAGCTTATAAACCCTTGGATGCGGATGGTTGTGGGGTGGAAAGTGAGGACAATGGAGAAAGTATTATTGTTGTGGGAGGGAATGGAATGGAA